AAATCGATGAGGGTGAAATTAATCATCTATAGTCGGGTTAGAGCCTTTGGCATGTGACCTTGAAAGTATTTCAATACAAATTCAGGTATACATTTTTCAAAATTTTAAATGAAATACAAAGGAAGGTCATACATTAAAGGCTACTTAACTATACTTGTGCATTCAATGTCTCACAAAAAAAAAAAGCATTTTTACATTTATGTTTTATCACAACAGAGCATATACTTATCGGCTATGTTTCTAAAACGAATCTGCGACCAGTAGTATATGAAAATGCTAGTACCGCATTTACACAATGAGTGGAAAGTGAAGCCAAAGAAAAGAAATAGGAATATCAATCTTGCATAAGTCTATCCTTTCTGTTCAATAGGATTTTCGTGCGCACGCACCAAATAAAACGATCTAATTCGTCTACTTCATCGCTGAACGCTGTCACCTGCCCACGCACTATTTTAAACTCTAAATATTAATAATATAATGGAAAATAAATTTCTTGCAGTTTTTAGGTATATAATAAAATTATATAAGAGTTTCTTGCCTTGAACTGCTAATATAGAAATTAATTCCACGCTGTGTTCGACATAATGTGGATCAACCTGCTCTCACTACCGGTTTCGGGGCCCTACCCCATCATCAGGTGAGCTTGGGTATTTCCACAATATGTCGAGCACAGCGTTGTTTATATACTCTGCGCTGTGCTCGACATGTTGTGGAAATACCCACCTGATGATGGGGTAGGGCCCCGAAACCGGTAGTGAGAGCAGGTTGATCCACATTATGTCGAACACAGCGTGGAATTAATTTCTATATTAGCAGTTCAAGGCAAGAAACTCTTATATAATTTTAATATTAATAATGTATAATATATTTTTTTATTGGTAATAGCATCATTTCAACCTGTTATTTTAGATATTCATCATATCTATCCGTTTCTTGTTTTTGTTTAAATATGTCAGAGATTAAATTTAAATTTATAAGTAATGGCGTGAATAGTCAGACGCTAAATTGATTTACGTGGTAGATAGAAACTTAGAAATCTACTTCTATTGGTTAGTATGAAATAAATCAACTAATCGAGAAGCACCTCTCACGCTTGCGTAGTTCAAAGCTGCTGAACGAAAAGGACCGACTTATGTGGATTTTATATAGCTCCATCCCAAAAATTTGGCTTCAGTTTCTATTCCTGAGTAGCCATATAGTGTAATAATATGATGAAAATATTGAATCAAGGACCCAAAGCCGATCCTTGCAAGTCGTGTATTATTATTATATATATAATATGTATGTATATATTTTGTTATATCTCTGTCTAATACAGGTAGCGAAGAGTAAGAGGTTCTAGAGAACATACAGGGTGTAACTGAATAAGTACCGAAAAATTAGGAAGCAATATCTTTTTAAAAACTAATGGTGGTTTTCATATATTCTTTTTTTCGATTTGATGTTGAAGATTAAATTAATTAAAAATCAGTAGGCGCCAAAAATTTATGAAATACCACCCTTTTTATACAAAAAAAAAATCAACCCCTGCTTTGTTTGCATTTATTTATTTACAGCCTGTATACAGAGATATTTAATTGATTACAATTGAGGAAGTTGTGTCTTTATTCTCGATTGTCACTTAAAATTTGAAAGTAAAAAAATATGACTTCTATTTTTAAACCAGTACAGTAATATGGCAGTATAGTTTGATGTTCTTTCAGTCTAAATTTATTATTATTATTCTGGAACATTTAAGGAACCAGAATTAAGAGTAGATGTGGAATTGCATAGAAAATCTATTTGCTACCTTTTGAAAATCTATTTGCTATCTTATAAGTACTCTTGGATCATTGAATATACTAGGGTCAGCAACGTTGTTTGAGTTAAATAATTAGACGATTAGACGCCGTGATTGTTAGGTTAGGTTAGGTTGTTTTTTTATTGTTAATCTGGATTAACAATAAAAAACAAACAACCAATCACGGCGCGTCTCGATCTATTACAGGAAACGGTGGGAACTAATTTTTATAACACGGGCTTATATTTGAGTTTACTTCTGCTATTATTTTTCCAGAAATGGTTTTGCGAAATGTTTTAGGAAATATTTCGTAAAACATTTCGGGGATAGTGTAGAGGCTGTTTTTTGAGATTTCAGTGTCATAAAAAATTGTTGATGAAGATATTAGGTTTGTTCCAACCCGCCGCAGAACCGTCACCGAACGAACGATCACGCTCGTGCGCAGTAATTCAAATGTGTTCCAACTGAGATTTGACGGTTATCGGACGATCCTATTTTCGTACCAACCTACCTTGGGATCGTTTAGTTACGATTTCAGAACGGTAATTTCGGTACATGGTACAAATTGAGAACTGTTTGGGTTGACTTGCGCATTAAAGCATATTGGCAGGGATTATCGATTTTTAACAGCTGATTCTGGTCCGGCGTCCGGCTGATGCTTCTGTCTTGGTTATTTTTTACGAATTGGAATACGTGTGCGTTATACTTTTGCTTATGAGTTTGTGTGGAGTAAATCGTTCGGAAATTTTAAATTGTATACTTGCATAATTATCTATAGATAATAATTAAGTATGAGTGACGATGGTATGACTGATTTCTCTACCTCCACTTCAGATAGTGACAATTTGGAGTTGCTGCCTAGTGAAAGGGTGAAAAATGAACAAAATAGGTAAGATTTAATCGTATTTTCTTGTTTCCTCGAACAAAAACAAAAAAAACGATCAATACACGCACGCTTGACACTTTAGACAGTTCCGAAAACAATCCACAAAGCGTTCCAACGTTGATAGTTTTTGCACCGTCACGAAACTATTCGAAGTTCGCGCATGCTAACAAAGTGCAAGAAAACCGATTCGAGTACGATTTCGAAACGATCCCGAGATGCTGGTTGGAACAAACCTATTATTTCTGAAGATGGGGTACTAAAACTTGGTAGGAGAGTTTTACTGAGATTTAGAAAAATAAAATATTTGAGTTACATGCTACTGGGTGTTCAAAATATATTTATGAATGTAGACTACTTAAAATTAAAAAATATATTATTATTTAAATGGTACACTATATATTATTTTTTTCTGATAGATTTTACAAAACTCTTCGACCTTTATAAAGTATGTCCATATACCTATAATAATAAATTTTAAAAAAAATTAATAGCGACTTATTCTGAAATTTTTAAATGTGCATCTTAACCTTCCCTATAACATTTCAATTTTTTTGTAAATTTCGAAACAAAGAAGATAATGGACTTTATCGTTGACTTACCCTGTACATGAAGCTAGATGTAAACCTGGCTCCAAAAATGTATACAATCGTATACAGTATTATTTATATTAAAGAGTAACTATTAAATCTGAGGATGCTGAATACACAATTATTTAATTGCATGGTTTTTAATACATTTTTAGACATTTTCACTCATAAGGGGTAGACTTAATAAGTAGTCGCAGATTCGTTTAAAAAACTAAGCTACAACAAACACAATAAAACATTGATTGATCACACACACATTCCAAGAACAACTATTAAGTCGAAATTCCTGAGGACATTTGTCGTCTTTATGTATTGAAACGTTGTGCGCGAAATATTGCGGAAGTGTTATTTTATCGGTAAAAAAGTAGACGCCGTAACGTAAGTATATATTTATGGGAATGATGATTAGAATGATTGATGATGATATTCGATATGATATGAAACGTTTACCTAAAATTCAACTATGACGAGTACCACTACTTACTTAAAAAAATCACTACAGTATAATAAAAATAGACCTAGTTATGTATGTATATTTTTATCATTTATCAGTCTCCTGTCTGGCTTAATTATAAAACTATTTTTGGAGGTTAAGTTAGTTTAAAGTAAATCTTGGGGATCTAGTCACAAATGGATCCTCTCGCAGTTAATTTACATATACGTATCGAAGTATACACTAAATTAAGGAATAAATTAATATAAAATTATAATATAAAAATACAAGGATACGTATAATCATCGATTGAAACAAGCCAGTCTTTTAAAGAATATCTGTATCTTTCAAGTAAAAAGTGTAGAATTTAGCGACATACATATCTTTAGTAGGATAATTGTCATTCAATCAATTTTTTGGTTAGTTTTATTTTGTTCTTAATTGGAGTACAAGACAACTAAAGATTATCTAATGAAAAAAGAAACGACAAAACAAAAAAGAGATTGACATGATTGAAAAACCAGAAAAATCAGACTTTTGCACTGATTAATATGGTGACAATAATGACAGAAATTTTTCAGGAACCGTGTTATGGAACGGGAAACCAATTTTCTGTCAATTTTTGGTCGTCTGTCAAAATCGTCCTTTCGGTTTAGGGAAGATACATGGTATTAAAGTATACCGGGTGTTGATCAAAAGTAACAAACCCCTAACTTTTTTATTTTTTCATATAAAAAACGAGATTTGGTATGTTAGTATATGACATAAATCAGGATTGATTGACTTATTCAATTAGTTTCGGTCACTTCCTATTTCACCGGAAATGACTACAACTTTTGATTTTTAAATTGAACCTTTAGAATTGTTACCTTATGTGATAGAAAATGACATTCTGAATAGAATGACATTTGTCAATTTTTGACATTTTCGCATATGGTCTATTGTAAACATGCGGTTCATAACGACATAAAGTTCAATCTAGAGTGCCATGGCTGTGTTAAAACTACTAATTTTTAATCAAGGAGCCTTAGAAAAATAGATCTAGATCGTCTAATTTTTTCGTGACTTTTCCTGTATATTTAAAAGATGCCCAAGTCGAATTTTTAACCATAAATAATTTTTTTAACGGAACAAGGGTAGCTCATTAGCATACTTGAGTAAAGCATTTATTTACGAATAATTTGGTACCTAACACTTGGTGTTTCAAGTCAAATTGTCGTTATGAACATTTTCATTGCACTCTAGATTGAGATTTAAAATTCAATTTTTTTAAGTGAAAATGTCAAAAGTTGACATATATGATATGTTTGCAGAATGTTATTTTCTATCAAATAAAATAAAAAAAAATACCAGGATACAATTTAAAAATCAAAAGTGGTAGTAATTTCCCGTGAAACAGTAAGTGACTAATAGTGAAAATAATTGAATACGTCAATCAATCCCTGATTTATGTCATATACTAACATGCTGAATTCCGTTTTTTTTTCGTCTGAAAAAAAAATAAAAAACAGAAGGGTGAGTCACTTTTGAAAATCACACGGTATGGGAGTTTGAGGCTATCCCAAATCCAAGAATATCCAAACCAAAACAAATACAAAATCTAAATAGGTAAAGGTCGCTATTATATCCTTTATACACGAACAAGTTTCAAATTTTCAGATTTCTACAATATCACTTAAAAAGGTACAGAATTATCTTTTACATGCAAATGTTTCATGCTAACTATCCAAGTATATAACTGCGAGATTTCGTTCCGAACGACCTTATCAAACAAATAGGATCACAACAAAATGCACAAACGACTTATACCTTGCTATTGATATAGCCGTTCGAGGGACTATTGCCGATGAATCCCTCGTCCTCGTCCTGACAATCCGACTGCCTCCTGTTGCTTTGCATTTGGAACTTCCCAAAATTCATTAGACTATTTGTGGATTTGCCGGGGCCCAATAGGGGCGCCTTCGGACAATAGTTTTCTAAGGGTATACTTACGGACGACTCTTCGGTAGAATTGTCGCTCGTTTGCGGCGGCTGCATCATCACCTTGGGCGATCTCAAGAAGTTGTGCGAATTGATATTCTGGAAGTCGATTTCGTTGAGACGCACGCTCCTGAACTCGGACGGCTGTTCCCATTCGTCGATCGTGATGGATTCGGGCGGTACGTCCGTGCAATGCGTCATCAGTTTGGGATTGTTGGCGAGGAACTCGACGATCGACGAAGCGATGGGACGTTCTTTCGCGTCTCGGGACCAACACGATTTCATTAGGGCTTCCCTGTTTAAGAAAAAAAATGGTGGATTACTTATAGGCTTGGTGCATTTCAACCGATCAATGACTATAGAATACAAGGATACGTAACACGCGTATACGAGTTAGAGCAGAATTTGTGATGTTAGACGCCATTTTTTTGGATGTAACGAATGATGACAGCGACAATAATTTTAACGATTTTTAGGGTTCCGTACCCAAAGGGTAAAAACGGGAACCCTATTACTAAGACTTCGCTGTCCGTCCGTCCGTCCGTCTGTCACAAAGGTCTATTTTATGAATCATTATAGCTAGACAGTTGAAATTTTTACAGATAATGTATCTATGTTGCCGCTATAAGAACAAATACTAAAAACAGAATTAAATAAATGTTTATAAATAAAAAGTACTTTCACTAAACATTATCTTTTAAGTAAGAATTTTACATAGACTCTTTCAAGTTCTCGGTGGCCGCGTGGTTAAAGCGTTAGTACTTTACGCTGCTATGACGTTGGAGCCGTAGTAAGGCAGGTTTGAATCCTAGTCAAGGCGACTTTTTTTAATTTTTTTTTTTTAATTTTTACATATTTTTACATATTTATTTTTACTTTTTACATATTTATTATTGATTAATACAATTTTTTGTAATGTGTTTCTTCATTTTTTTTTTAATTACTTATACACGCATTCAAAATTTCAGCTAAATCGGAAAAAAGTTTATAATAATATAGTGTCTAATGTTGTATAGATAATGAATGGTACGGAACCCTTCGTGCGCGAGTCCGACTCGCACTTGATCAATTTTTATTAATAGTTTGTGTGTAATGAACTTTGTATAAACTTTATTACAATGGTGATTAGTTGTTCAGCTTTCAAGTGTAAAAGCCACAGCGATAAGAGCCCAGGGGTGCAACTTTGTTCAAGTTAGCAACCGATCGTTTAGAAGCGATGTCAAAACCAGATCAATACTATGTTCATTGCAAAACTTTTGTCGCTTAAATGCTGCGAAATATAATATCACTATCACACTCTTGCACACGTGTGCGACACGGTCTAGGCTATGTCTAGGCAGTCGCCTCGCCACAAAGCGAGAAATCAGAATATCGCTACGAATCGATGTTGCTACTGAACATAGTGCATCAAGCTACAAATTACTTTACTATCGCTTTGAAACATGAACAAAGTTGCACCCCTGGAGTTTCGTAGGTAAATAAACCGTTCACTCCACCTTTTTAGCGTTTTTTTTTATTGAATTCGAAAATTATTTTCTGATATTATATGTATATACGTATACAGGGTACCCCGTACCATATGTACCCTATACAGGGTGTTTCAAAAAACATGTGCCATCTCTCGTGGGGAGATTCCTCGTGTAAAAGTAAGATTTATTTTTCATATCAACATAGGTCCGATTCTGCTTTGTTTCGTAGCTACAGGGTGTTAAATTCTTAATTATTTTTCGATTTATTATAATATTCTTTCAAGTACTTTTAGTGATTAGAATGAAATTTTGAAGGTAAAAGTTACTAAAAGTGCTACATATTTTAATGCTACAAAAGTGTCGATAAATTCATCGGCGACGTGCATATGGGTTATCACTGGAATATTTTTCTATATAAAGTATGTACGCCACTGACTTTTTTTTCTCATGTTAGCGAAATAGTGCAAGCAGTTTAATGCCGATTAAAAGTTGTCTCTTGATATTTTGTCGGTTTCGGCTTCATTGATGAGATAAACGCAATTTTATTAATCACGATTAATAAAATAAAAATAAAATTAATAAATTATATATTTTACCTAATTTATTATTAAAAATATTTAAATATTTAAATACACTTAGTTATTATTACTATTAGTCCAACCTACAGCAATTTCAAATAAAAAAATAATGGTATTTAAGATAATTACAAAAAACATAATTTTAGTTTAAGTTTTAACATCATGTAATTCTAAAACTATCCATTTCCATACCCATCTTAAAGGAACTTTTTTTTTTATATATTTTGATGAGGAATCAAAGAGTACTTATTTAAAACTTTCACGTTAATGATATTATTTTTTTAGAAGTTGCTATTAGACTTGGATCAAGGCAAATTAATAAAATTGCGTTTATCTCATCAAGGAAGCCGAAATCGACAAAATATTAAGAGACAGATTACACTATTACTTTCTGACACCCCCGCTCCCAACAGTATGTCCCCGCATTGTTTTTACCTAAGGTTTTTACAAAGGAAAAAACTACTTTTTTATTATTGAAATTTTGAGAAAAACACATTCTTAATTGGTTGTTCTAAAATGGTTAATCCCGTTTATACTTTTACAAATTTCCATACCGTTTTAGAGAAAATTTAAAAAAATCATGAAAATATAGATATTTGAATTTTACTCCTAAAAAATAAACTATGATGCGTTTCTATGATAAAATTTCAACTATCTTTTCATGTTTTTTTTAATTTTCTTTAAAACGGTATGGAAATTGGGAAAAGTATAAACGGGATTAGCCCTTTTAGACCAAGCAAAATTTTTTATGAAGAATGCATTTTTCTCAAAACGTCAATAAAAAAAAGTTTTTCCTGTTGTAAAGACAATCCGGGTGACATACTGTATATCTCTGGTTTGAACACAAGAACCCACGAAATCCGTAACAATCTTTGAATAAGAAGACTAAGGAAGGAGCATATCAAAAATCTTAGGTCCACCGCGATGGGCCTCAAATATGGCCGACTTAAATTCCGGTTTGTCAGTGCCGTTCTAATTTTATTTAAAAAATGTGACGTCGGGTAGACTCAATAATTTGTTAGTTTATCTTACTTTGTGAATAAATGTTGGTAGTTATTAAAATTGTTATAAAAATATAAAATTCTAATAAAAATAGATAAGTTATAATAATTATTTATAACCATAAACATCCGATACGCTACTGAAGCAGGTAAGTCAAATTGACGTACTTAAATTCTTTGACATCTAATCTTTGACAAGTAGTAAATAAAAGCAAAAATGCAAGAAAAAATATATAATTATTAATTTTAAGTGAATTTCATAAATGATCAGTTTACTACATGTATGTATATTTCACTTGATTTTTGCCGAGATCTACCGCACGCTACACGACCAACTATTTTAGAGTTTTTTTCGATAAATCGCGATAGTATCACTGTTAATTTAAGTTCTGCCACAATTTCCATCTAGATTTACTACCTTTATATAACTATCAGTAGTAGAATAAATAATAAATAACATAAAATAAGCTCCGTAAAGACTGACAAATCCACAAAATTTCAAATCAAATTCAAATGTGTAAAATGAATCGTCAAACAGAACTGTCAAGGATCCCCACCCTAGAGTCCTTTTTCCGCCCACCATGCATGAATACATGGATAGCATTATGCTCCTTCCTTAGTCTTCTTATTCAAAGGTAACAATATTTTACAAAAAATGCTACTTACAGCTGAGGTTTTGTTCCCGCAGGGACTTCTAAACAGCCCCCGTTCTTTACTTCTTCCACAACTTCCATGTTAGCCCTGCCATACCAGGGATTGACTCCGAACGTAACGATCTCGTACAAAACCACCCCATAGCTCCACATATCTGACGCCGCAGTGAAAACTCCCGATATTAGACTTTCGGGAGCCATCCATCGTACCGGCAGCATCCCTTTGCGCGTAAATCGATAACTTTCGTAATCGTTCATGGGACGAGTCATACCGAAATCGCCGATCTTTGCCATTCGTTGCGCGTTTATTAAAACATTCCTCGAAGCCAGGTCTCTGTGCACGTATCTCATCTCGGACAAGTAACTGAGTCCTCTGGCGATGTCTAATGCGAAGCTGGTCAGTCTTTTGGGAGAGATTTCTTCCAAAGACTCGGGTCCGATGTTTGGATTGGTAAGAAAATGTCTACGGGAGAGTAAGTAGGTTTTTAGGTCGCCGTACAAGCAGTACTCCATCAGCGTGTGTAAAGGTTGGGTTTTCGTCACTACGCCGAGAAGTTTGACGATGTTTTTGTGGTCGAAACGCTTCATATTGTCGGCTTCGGTTAGGAAATCGATCTTGTCTTCAACCGAGGAACCGTTTTTTAAGGTTTTGACGGCCACCGGAGACCAACCGCAGACTGGTGTTTCTGCTTCGCCACCATAAACGGCCCCGAAAGCTCCCTCTCCTGAAATTCAAATGAAGGTAAGTAATGCGTCATTTTACAATACAACAATGATTCGAAAATGAATGTTGCCAGCCCATGAGTAGAGGAATATCTTAATAATGGAGGATCATACACACATGTCATACACACACACATGACAATATGTCTGATACGAAATATGAAATACATATATTATGTCCAAAATTATTGCATATCGTCAGTGAAACGTGATAACCTGCTAACTCCATTTTTCACGTTAATAAGTTTTTTATACCATTAGAAAGAGAAAAAAATACTCTATAAGTAGGAAAAGCAAATACATTTTTTCCCATTAAAGAAAATTTGCAATTTTAACTCAATAATATCTGCTAACTCCCAGTGATCTGAAATAGCTACCGAAATTCTGCTAATTCCATAATTTCCGTTACGATCACGCTAAAGCAAACACACGGATTCTTACTCGTATGTTGCTTTAGGACAGTACTTCGATCCAGGGCCGCACTAGGCCAAAGGGGCACGGGTGGCGTAAGAAGGGGTCCGTGTGGATTTTTTTGCGTATTTTTTCGTCTTACGTTTTGGTCAATTTTTCCCTATTATATACAGGGTGATTCTTAAATAAATGCCAATATTTTTAGGGGTAGTATATTTCGACCCAAGAAACACGATTATGAGGTTTTTTGGGCGAAATTTTTCTTCTTGAAAACTTGGAATTTTTCTAAAAAGAAATTTGGAAATTTTTTTAATTTTTAGTTTAAAAACATACTTTGTTTGTAATATGGCAACATAGGTAGTAGATTAAATTTACAGGAAAGAAAATCCAATGATTCTCAAAACTATAGCAAAAAATTGGAAACTTTAAAAGTGAAATAACTCGGTTGTTTTGGATTTATTTGAAAAAATGGTAAAGAGAAAATATTATGTTTCTTTTATCGAGATTTACCAGCCATAAAAATATTTGCACTTATTTAAGACTCCCCCTCTATAGAAATCAGGGAACTACCCTAATGCAAGGTAAACCAATGCAATGCAAATGGCATAATGCAATGCAAAAGCAAATATTGTTAAGAATAAATAATGAACTATAAAGGGGGCCCGCGAAGGCTGGGGCCCCCCTAATAGTTATATATATAATATGGCAAGTCCGACCCTACGTCGATCCGTTCTGTAAATACGGGGTATCCGTAAAGGGTAAGGGGAAAAATGAAATTCTCTATATACGAGCAATTCATCGGCGTGCTATAAATAGTTTAAATAACCATTACTTACTTGTACAAGAATTTCCATAATACCTAATCAGTTTTATTTTTTTCCTCGTTTTTCCACGTATGTAAATGATACATAAATAGTAATTAATTAATACATAAAAAATAAGGAGAAATGTAATAAAAATTTAATGAAATCACGCACTGGTTTTCCAAGCTCGGTCTAGTACCGTTATATAAAAATTAGGATAAGCATGGAAGGATTCTACCATATCTTCTAAGAATTACAAGTTTAATTTTTAAATTATTTTCATATTCATTAAGTCCAAAATGCTGCTACTTTAGATCTTTAAAAATGCATTAAAAATTTATGTTTTTGGACTTGTATGTTTTGCGCTTCTAGACCGAAGATATTATAAATATATGGTTATGAATATCATATATTTTTTAAATTTAATTGATTATTTCTAAATCTGATTGGGTAATATTCAATTCCATTTTTAAAATTTCAAACAATTAAGGTTGCTATCTCCAGAAGTATATTTTTATTTCATATTTCTGCAAGACGAATATCTGCTATTTCCCTATTGTGTCTGAAAAAAATTATGAAAAACACGAAATATTGAGTAATATTGTTTCCTAGCAAATAAAATTCTTATCTTTTTATCATATTAACGCATGAAAATACTTCCCACATGTGTACATATTTCTTTGTACCGTTTTTTTGCTCTCCTGTAAAATTAGGAATAATGGAGTTAGCAGTTTATCACATTTCACTGACGATATGAATTATTATAGAGGTGGGCAAAGATTGAACGAGTCATTCATTTGAACGAATATTAAAAATTAATCGTGTGATTTGATGCACTGCTTAGAATACGGTTCATTCAACTGAATCATAGTCAGCACGGATCCATAAGAGTCGTGAGAATTGATTCATTGCTTACAATACGGTTCGTTCAATTGAATCGTGGCCAGCACGGATCAATAAGATTTGAACGATGAAACTTGAAATAGACTTGAACAAAAGCCCTAAACAAACATCATGGACATAAAATGCAAACGATAACAATGTCATTAACAAGAAAGAAAATTATTTATACTGTGGTTAGTACTGGAGTATCTGTAAGGTATTTAATTTTTATATATTTTTGTTAAAATAATATTACCGACTATAAACCATTAAATGTCGGACTCAAAGACGAAATAGTCTTTTTATGCAACTTCAAATAAATATTGTTGGCCTCTGCTTAATATGATAAAAAAAAGCCAACTGGATGCCATTTTTTGTCGATCATGCGGTATTATATATTATTTTTTATATGATACTAAATCGGAATTAAAATATGGCTCTAAAAATATATATGAATTGGATTTATAATTTAATATTGTTATAAAGGTGTATGTAGCGCCATCTGTCGGAGAAGCGAGAATCTAAAAATCGCAACGTGTATTGCTGGTTAAGGACTATCTGAGAACATTGTTAATTATAGTGATGGGTTGTTATTTAACTATCTGTTATTTTATAACAATTATTTAGAAATAACATAACGCAACCGTTACTGCTTTTAAAAAATAACAGATATAAAATAACGACACGCAGAGATCGAGTGTTCGTGAAACGAAGTCGGCGCTCTGCACCGCCACGAAATTCGATGCTGCTCGAAACAATTCCAAAAAACAACTAGTATGGATGGAAACCATTATTTCGACAACCATCGATACAGGCGGCGAGATACAACGGACAACGGAGGGTATGGTGCGCTACGGCGCGGCGCGTCGTTGGGCTGACAACAGCTTAAAAATAATAGGATATAAAAGAAGCAGCTTTTTTGAAAACAGTTGCAAGTATAACGCCCGGCTGTCGAGATAACAGGAGGGGAAAGGAGCGCTGCGTACTGATTCACGATGGAGGCTCGCAACGGGTTGGAGAACAACGCATCAGTTGTTTTAGCTTATGTTGTTTTTTACCTGTTACGAGCATAACAGAACGGCGTTCGAGATAATCGGAGGTTTGAAACAGGCTGAGAATAACGCGTCAGTTGTTTTAGATACATATTGCTTTCAACCTGTTACGAGCATAACGGGCGGAGGTCGAGATATTATGGCGCTGTATGTTTCAATACTTTGTTATTAAGTTTCAATATTTATATTTATTTATTCTAAAAATTTTCAGAATAATATTTAAGATTTTTAAAATGTATACAGGGTGTTTTGAAAATCTGGTCATTGATTAATCACGATCCTGCTTAAAGCCCTGACGTAAAAAAGCTGATTTTGGAAACGGATTGATTCTTAGGTGTAGAGGCGATAAGAAGGATTTTTTTCGAAACTCAAATTCTAAGGGGGGGTGAAACCACCCTCAAATATTAGAATATTTTTTATTTAAAAACTGGTGAGTTTTTCTGAAAAAATCCTAAACACGTATATTTTATTTTGTTGTTTCACATATTTTGAGGTTTTTACAAAATATATACAGCGTGTTTCATGAAATATGACCACCAGGAGTAATCACTATTCTGCTTAAACTGCTTGACGTTTAAAGCTGATTTTTTGGTAAACGGATTGACTGTGGGGTGTAGAGGCGGTGATATGAGGGGCTGAATCTCAAATTCCAAGAGGGTGAAAAACGCCCTCAAATATTACAATATTTATTATTTAAAAAACGGTTAGTCTTTCGGGAAACGATTGGACATAATTTATTTTGTTTTTTTACATATTTTGAAATTTTTTAAAAAATAATACAGGGTGTTCCAAAAAGTTGAGTAATTGATTATCCATGATTTTGCTTAAACTTCGACGTTTAAAGCATATTTTTGGCAAATGTGAGAAAATTTTATCCAGTTTGTATGTTAGAAGAGGAGGCGTAGGTAGATCGGAATTTATAGATATAGACGAGCGGCGGTATTTTTGCTTTTTTATATCGCAATTTGTAAACAGCGCTTATTTGTAAACAACCCCCGTTTTTAGAGAGGTATTTTAGATAACAATCGATATTTAGAAATGTTATGACACCCTGGAAATACTACCACCGAGCATGTCATTGTTGCAACTGCGTTAATACGCCTGGCGGTGACCGCCTCATATTCTTTAAGATATTTAGCAATAAAATAAAGAAACCTGTTATTTTTAAGCTGTTATTTTAAGCTGTTTTTTATAAATAACTATAACAGTTTCAACTGTTATCTAAAAATAACAGTTTTGCCCATCACTAGTTAATTACTTATTTTTATCTGCAGAATATGCTGCCGAAGTTTCCGGCAAGAATCAGGCGGCAGAATTTACTGATAGATGGCAGTCACTAGAACAATATAAAGGCGCGTGATCGGCAGTTGATCCAGTTTTGAACATGTTTTGAAGTTTGAGTTTGAATTTTGAAAATACACCGTTTTAAATTGTGAATCGTGATAATTTGGCGAAGGATTTAATAAAGAGTTAATTGTGTGTTACAATCGGTATAAATTGTGTGTATATATGTAGTGAGAAAATAAATTCGTTAAGAATTTGTATCGTGAGTTTAAATTAGTGGACCTACGGAATCCGTAACAATATTATTTGTAAAATAATCAATCCAATTACGCTAGTGTCATAAAGTGTTGAAAAACAAATGAAAGAACTGTATATTTCATTTTCTGGTCCCTTAGGAAATTGCCCGGCCAAATTATCGCCGGTAGTGCCAGTTACGATTCTTGTTTTTATGAAAGGTAAATTGTGCATGTGGTTCGTTCAAAATGAAACAAATTAGGAGTCGATTCAATATGAGAAATTGAATCGTGTGATTCGATTCACTAAAAAGAATGGTAATGCCCATCACTGATATGAATGTTTGGTAAAATCAAAAGACGTTCAGGGAAATATTAATTTATAAAGTTTGCCATGACTTAGTTTAGACAACATGAAAAAACTATTTCTGTATTATACACTTTTATTACAACTCAATTTAATAAATAAAAAATTGATTATAAAATTTAAAAGTTAAAGTTAAATTCAAAGTGTAAAAACAAAGAATGAAGAAAAGTATTGAAATTAATAGTCTGTATATTTCCTCTCAGATGGTTTGGCATGCTACCTATCAGATTATCTAGGCAGTTCTTATCTTACTTTATTTTTTGTTAAAGTTTGTACAAAACAGATGACCAGTGATTGGATTATAGAGGGTAGAGGTAAGGAGAATTATATTTGTGTATTGAAAAATGGTCATCAAAGAGGGATCAATTAAGACGGCGCCAGAAGGCGCCAGAAGCTTCGCCCCTGGATATGATTCTCCTTTTCTCTACCTTCCACAGATTGGAGGTATGCAACAAATACCATACCTAGTTTACGATTAACTTCGATATGTTCCCGAACCACTTCGAATTCCTCCAAATCGGTAGGATATTCTCTCTCGTATGTCAGACCCAATTTTTCCATGTAGGCTTTCTGTTTCTGCACTTTCAAGTCGTACTTGTGCTTCAAATATAAGCATACGCCCATAACCGTAAAGCCTAAGAAAACGGCAACCATAACGTTCAGAATAATTATAGCCGTTTGGCATTCGACGTTGAACACTTTGGCGATACTGTCAATGGCACAGACGGCGGGTGGTGGAGTACCATCATCTGGTACTATCCCTGGAAACAATAAATTGATTAGAAAACATTTTAGGTTGAAAAAAACATTTTTTTAATTAACATAGTACAACAGTATTCAAACTACATTAATTGACTGTTTACGTTGATTAATAATAATTGCTCCAAATACTAAAAAACTGAATTTTGTGTGTGTGTATTAGAGAGTGTGGTAAAAAGTAAAACTATAAATTTTATTTCATTTTTTGACGAATGCTTATTTATAAAAACAGAGACGTTCATTTTCAAAACTTATTATCATATTATTAACATATAAATAAGGAAAAAACTCGTAGAATCTCTTGTACTGTCCCAGTTATCGTACTGTAATATTTTTTATTATCCTTGCCTTGATAAACTAAGTGCAAATAAATTACAGAAAATTCAAAACTCTTGTTGTCGTTTTGTCTGACAGGTAAATAGATATAGCCTGGATATAGCTACATTTCGCCATATATCAAACAATTAAAATGGTTAAAAATTAACAAAAATTTTCAGTTTCTTTTCTCTACTTCTATTCACCGTCTATTTGCTCAGCAGCAGCCACAGTATTTGATAATGAAGTTAATATCGCGAAGTTTAACAGTACAAAGGCCTATAAGATTTTTAAACAAATTTACAATGCCAAAGCATAAAACATCGCTTTTTAGTCGTTCGTTTACATACAATGCTGTAAAACTATATAACGCATTACCTGAAAAATTTAAAAATCTGTCACTGACATCCTTCAGATATAATATCAAACCTTCTTAAGGAAGGAGCATAATGCTATCCATGTATTCATGCATGGTGGGCGGAAAAAGCACCATAAAAGCACTCTAGGGTGGGGATCCTTGACAGTTCTGTTTGACGATTCATTTGACACATTTGAATTTGATTTGGAATTTTGTGGATTTGTCAGTCTTTACGGAGCTTATTTTATGTTATTTATTATTTATTCTACTACTGATAGTGTATAAAGGTAGTAAATCTAGATGGAAATTGTGGCAGAACTTAAATTAACAGTGACACTATCGCGATTTATCGAAAAATACTCTAAAATAGTTGGTTGTGTAGCGTGCGGTAGATCTCGGCAAAAATTGAGTGAAATAATGGAACAACTTTTCGCTAGTATGTGACTATATAAAATACATACGTGTAGTAAACCGATCATTTATGAAATTCACTTAAATTAACTAAATTATATATTTTTCTTGCATTTTAGCTTTTAATTATTACTTGTCAAAGATTAGATGTCAAAGAATTTAGATACGTTAATTTGACTTACCTGCTTCAGTAGCGTATCGGATGTTTGTGTTAATAAATACTTATTTTAACTTATCTATTTTTATTAGAATTACATATTTTTATAACAATTTTAATAACTACCAACATTTATTCACACCGTAAAATAAAACAACAAATTATTGAGTCTACCCCACGTCTACCCTACATCATAGTTTTACATTTTTTAAATAAAATTAGAACGACACTGATAAACCGGAATTTAAGTCGGCCATATTTGAGGCCCATCCCGGTGTACCTAGGATTTTTGATATGCTCCTTCCTAAGTATAAAACGATATTTCTTAACCTCCGATACATAATAAATTTATAGTATAATCTATTATGCATATTGTTATCTGTTATATTTTATTTTTTCTATTTTGGATAATTTACTTATGTTTTTTTTAATAGTGTATATTGTAAGTATATTGAATATATATGTATAGGAAAATGTAATTTATGTTTGGGTTAAGTGGTAGAATAGCTTACAGCTAAACTTCGCCCACAAATTGTAACTATCTTTTTTTATAGTACAATAAATACGATTAATTATTATTATTATTATATTGATTTCTGAGCCAAATCCACATTTATTTAGAATACTTTATTAATTAAAACAATTTAAAAGTCTGTAATTAACTAATTTTTGGTCGGAAATAATGGTAGTATATTTAATTGGTATACTCTTTTACAAAGATTTAAATAAATAGTTTTTTTTGTATACCAATGGGCTTGCAATATATACCACCTGTAGATTTTGTACAGGGTGTCCCATTTTGGTTGAAATCATACGGTATCTCCGTTATTAATGAAGATAGAAGGATGCGGTTTGTACAAACCTGTCCCACTTTTTTGTCAAACGAAAGATGCTGTAAACAAAATTTTCATAGCCCTCTTTGTTTCTGAGCTACAGGGTCTTTTTGAAAATTTTGCAATTTGGGACACCCCCCGTATCTCTGTTATTGCGAAAGGTATCGAGAAGGTGAAAACTGTTTATTGTAGAACTTTTTACGGAGAATAAAGTGGCGTAGTCTGTTATTCTCCGAAAATAATATTTTCGAAGATATGAACTAAAGTTATGTTTTTTTTAAATGGAACACCCTGTATATTTATAAATGATATGATTTGGCTTGCCATAAGCTTCTCAAAAATATATATCACTCTATATTTGTTTTCACTATTTACTGCAATATTTAAAAGTTTTTATTAAAAGGTCATATTTATTAGTAGGCCATGATTGATAATGAAAGAAAATAAAGAATTATTAAAAGTATACTGCTATCTGTCTTTTGTTTTATTTTAAGGACCAGTAATAATTTTTTATACATTAGGAAAACTTAACTCTCTACCGCTATTTGTAAATCTTAGAAGTTATCGTACCGGAGCTTTTAGATATTCCTTTAGCTAATTTACGTGAAATATACTTCCAGCAAGATGGGGTTGCCCTAACAACTTTGAAAATATTAGAATTTTGTTAAATTATTATTTCTCAAATCAATGAATTGGAACCAATGGACCCATATGATGGCTTCCCTGATGATTCCCGGTTCTCGATTTCTGACTTTGGGGATTTTTAAAATATGAAATTATTATGGCAACTACAACAACGTCGAACACCAGGAAAATTCTTTAATAATGCAAGCTTTTAGATATTTGTAAACCCATTCCGTTATAATAAATTCCGTTATAAAGAAAGAAAAATATATATTCAGAGATTCAGTGATAACAGTTCAAAGTAAAATATGTCAATCCCAAATAAAATTTTAATGTGTGTATGACTATTTTTAGTAAATACCATTTTGATTTTTATGTTATTTATCATGGCCCACTAATAAAAAAATGATATATTTTAAATATTGAAGTAAAAAGTGAAAATAAATATAAAGTGATATATATTAAGAAGCTCATGGCAAGACGGATCATATGATTTATAAATATACAGGGTGTTTCATTTAAAATAAACGTAACTTTAGATCATATTTTCAAAAATATTTTTTTCCGTAGAGAAACAGACTACGCCACTGTATTCTACGTAAAAAGTTCTACAAGAATCAGTTTTCACCTTCTCGATATCATCCATAATAATGGAGATACGGGTGCTGTCCCAAATTGCAAAATTTTCAAAAAGACCCTGTAGCGCAGAAACGAAGAGCGCTATGAAAATTTTGTTTACGGCATCTTCCGTTTGACAAAAAAGTGGGGCAGGTTTGTGTAAACCGCACCCTTCTAACTTCACTAATAACGGAGATACCCTATGATTTCAACCAAAATGGGACACCCTGTACATATATGTTGCTTTAAAAAAATGTGAAATGTCAGTATTCCATGGGTCCATGGGGATAAATGAGGTCTAAATTATAAGAAAATGCATTTTCTACGAAAACTTGAAGAAATAAGTAAAATTTGATAGACAATTAAATTGTGCATATGATTGACGTAAAATATACAGGATGTTCCATTTAAATTAAACAAGTTATTGCCGTTTAAAGCTAGTAATTATTTAATATAAATTTTTGGACAGTCTGTATAAGGTAGTAAAATTTTTATTATTGCAACACAATATCTGATCAATAAATAATCTTCAGTAAATACTTAGTATTAAAGTGTGATAAACCTTAATCCAATTTACCTTTATTTTAATCGAAGAAATTAAAAATGTAGTAATATACAGGGTGTTCCATTTAAAAAAAATACAACTTTGATATTTTTATTTATTTTGGACACTCTGTATCTTGTGAAGATATTTTTAAATTGTAGCTCTAATAGTCCTTCAACAAACCAAAAATTTACAATTTGTAAAAATCTAGTCGTTTAGCTACAACACTCCGTGTCGTATGTGGTGAACAACCCTGTATATAAAAAGGCAAAACAATCGTACGATCTCTAAAACTAAATAGAGTTAAGTTTACGACGAAAAATTTCAGTTTCATTTGATAAACATGGAGAAGAGAGAGTGACAATCTGTGACATTTTTTATATATGAATATTTTTTGAAATTTAATAAGTCCAGAATTACTTACCGTCAGGTGTAAACCATTTAATTGCTGTATCGTTTAGAATAAGATCGCCTCCAAGGATTTCCGGCGTATGGTCGGTTAAATTCGGATAAAAATGACCGATGAGGTGAAGATCGTTGTTGTACCATTCTTTTATTTGGATAACTGAAAATCTGGACGGTCCACCTCGGAACTTGATTCTTCCTGAGACGCCAAAAAAGTCTGTTTGCTCTACTAATTTAACTAGTTTACTGAAAAAGAAAATTATTATGATTAAATTGATAGTAAGGTCACTAAAGTCTGTAGAGAAGGGACAATTTTAACACGATATTTAAGAACTGGTAGAAATGTACCGGGTGTCCAACTAAGAATAGCTCTCGGCTGTATCTCGGAAAGTATTAGTCGTAGAGCTTGACGAAAAAAATATTTATTACTAAAGAGAGCATGAGAAATTGCTGGAAATTATTTTCAAGTTTGTAGAGCGGCCGCTAGAGGGTGCAACTGCTATTAAAAATAAGAAAAAGGAGTTTTTACACAATCTTGATTAGATAACAGATACTATAAATAATAGATTCATAATCTTCAGTAAATTTTGCATATTTTTTGTTAGTACCATTTTTCCCTATCTGCCAAAATAAAGTGGCGGGGGAAGGTTAGATCTGTTTATATTTAAATGTTAATAACTCCGGACTGGTTGATCGGAATCCAATAAGTTGGGGCTCGTTTAAAAGAGCGTTTCTGACTCTATATTATACCATATAAACAATAAAAATAAGCTTTTGAGCGTAGACGCTAGGGGGCGCTGTCTTATAATTTAACAAACATTACGCGTTTTTTCGAAAAAGTTAAATGCAATAGTATATGTAATTTTAGCTGATACTAAAGAGTAATAAAAGTTTAAAAATTCAGCGAAAACCACATCTTGATATCTTTTTTTAAACTAACGTTATTACCAAAATTATAATAAATACGAAAAAATAAGCCCTTAACTACCTTTTCTTTCTAACACGGTGCCCATTCTAATAAATGGGGGCATTCTAATAAATGGGACAATGTACCAGAATATCATAATACTAGGTGTATTAATATCTAATAATTACTTAATTAATATCAATGAGAGTAACTAAGAAACGACGCCTCAGTGAATTCATGGTAGGCTTTGGAAAAAAGTTGATTTTTAAGGGACAGTTTAAACTCAAAATATTATTATATCAATAATTTGATAGTCTCAGCAGCGTTTTTTTTTCTTTTGATTGCTTTTCTAAAAATGCATTTCTTCAAAAGAGAAAAAACGCTGCTAAGACTATCAAAATGTTGATTTAATAACTCTTTGACGTTTATACTATTACGTCAAAAGCATCTTTTTTCCAAAGCCTACCGTTCACTGAGGCGTCGTTTCTTATTCACTGTCATTGATATCTTAATTTACATCTAATATTGTTAATATTATGGTATTCTGGTATATTGTCGATTCTAGAACGAACTAATCGTTTCTATCTTATTTTTTATTAGAATGGTCATAATCAAGAGGGCTACTGTAACCGTGTTAAAAAAATAAGGTAATTAAGGGCTTGTTTTTTCGTATTTATTATAATTTTGCTAATATCTTCGATTTGAAAGAGGATATCAAGATGCGGTTTTCGCTGACTTTTTAAACTTTTATTACTCTTTACTATCAGCTAAAATTATATATACTATCGCATTTAATTTTTTTGAAAAAACGCGCAATGTTTGTTAAATTGTAAGAGAGCGCCCCCTAGCGTCTACATTTAACAGCTTATTATTATTGTTTATACGCTATAATATAGAGTAAGAAACGCTCTTTTAAACGAGCCCCCGTTTGTTAGATTCCGTTCAACCAGTCCGGAGTTATTAATGTTTAAATAAAAACAGATCTAACCTTCCCCCACCACTTTATTTTGGCATATAGAGGAAAATGGTGCTAACAAAAAGATGCAAAATGTAGTGAAGATTATGAATCTATTATTTATAGTATCCGTTATCTAGGCAAATTTGTATTAAAACTCCTTTTTCTTATTTTTAATAGCAGTTGCGCCCTCTAGCGGCGGCTCTACAAACTTGAAAATAATTTCCAGCAATTTCTCATGCTCTCTTTAGTTATAAATATTGTTTTCCGCAAACTCTACGACTAATACTTTCCGAGATACAGCCGAGAGCTATTCTTAGTGGGACACCTTGTATATGTACTGCCACAAGACAGTAAATAGATATGTTTACATATAAAATACTCACTTGGTGGTGTTTTCAGTATGCAGGTCAGATAAAGCTTCGGCATCAGTCTTTGAAAGTCTGTCTAAGGCAAAGGCGTACGTCCAGACCGCGTCATAGGCAAATCCGGCGTAGTCAGAAAAATTCCCGGCGACTCTGGACTTATAGGTTTTCAGCCAGGCGCCCACCGTGATATTTTCCTGCATGGTTTGATTTTCGGGAGCGTAGTAAGCGTGAGTCATGGAAAAATAGCCTTTTATTCCCTAGAATATAATATAGTAATAAGTCAATAGTGGAGGCATTTTTTTAAAATTATATGAATATATTATAGGTATTTCAAAGAAAAAAAATAATTTTCAGTGCTCCAAAAGTACATTTTTAGAGATATTATAAGAGGGATATTTGAATATTTTGTAATGTATATTTCATATCAATTAAACTTTTAGTTACGTAATTGAGGTTTGGTTTGGTATAATAAAAGTAAAAATAAGTAATAAATAGTGTTGTGATACTTTAAGCTTAAAATGTTTACTAGCAGACCCTGCAGTCGAACATTGTTCTTTTTAGAACCTCTTTTAGTGCGAAATGTATAAGATAGCTTAATAGCAGTAAAAAACTCCTCGTGACTTTGTACCACTATTTATATCACTACTTTATTAGAATATTTTGAACGGAAAAGCGGTAGGAAATAAAAAAAGTGGGTTTCCATTTGAAAAAAAAATGATTTATGATAATTTTTTAATCGCTCAATTCCATGACAGCTACCGCCATTATTATATGACATTTGAACAATTATTTTTTTGAAATAGATAGCCACATGTCTTTTCCTTATGTCACAGTGGCTTTGGTTATCACTAAATTTGACTTTTAGGCTATACAAATTTTAAAATTAAATTTTTTTTTCTCAAAAACGGTTAATGTTAAGCCGCGTCCAAGCTACTCGACAAAACGTTCGCGAACATATATAATTCACACTATATACTCGTAGCAGCAGGTCGTAAACGACGGCACAGCCCATCGCATCGGTCCCGAGGACTGAGGTGCGGGGAAGAATGCGACAACCAATTTGCTCTATAGATCTAGGATGCGTTTAGGTAGTCGCTGTTTTTTCGAGTGCCCGGATTTCGAGTGCAAGCATTTTATGAAATAAATTAACCGGTAAACAGTTTAAGAACTTTTGCGTTGAAGAATCAATATTTAGCAGGCGGAGGGTCACAGGGGTCTTTTGGTAGATTATTCGTTATAGTGTATTTTTAAGACCTCTATTCATTCACAGCCGATTCTACCAGGTGTTTCTCAAAAGGGGCTCACTTTTTTACTTTTTTATTTTTTCAGATAATATAACGAAATTTGGTTTGTTAGTATATGACATAAATCGGGATTGATTGACGTATTCAATTTCCTTCGGTCGCTTCCTGTTTCACCGGAAATGACTACAACTTTGTATTTTTAGATTGTATTCTAAGTACTTTTTTACTTTATTTGATAGAAAATGACATTCTGAATAGAATGACATACCATACATACAGTCAATTTTAGACAATTCCAATTAAATAAAAAAAGCATTTTAAATTTCAATCTAGAGTGCCAAGACTGAGTTAAAACTATTAATTTGTAATCAAAGAACTTTGGAAACATATATTTGATCGTGTAATTTTTTTTCGTATCCCTTTATGGCCGCTTAAAAGATGCCCAAATGGTACTTTTAATGATAACTCAAATTTTTCAAATGGTACGAGGCTGGCTCAGCATATCTGGAAAAAGCATTTTTTACGAATAATTTGGTACCACATACTTGGCATTTGGAGTAAAATTGTCGTTACGTTTATGGCCATTTTTAAATTGAAAATGTCAAAAGTTGACATATAATATATCTTTCTATTTAGAATGTCATTTTCTATCATATACGGTAAAAAAATACCGAGGGTACCATTTAAATCAAAAGTTGTTGTCATTTCCGGTGAAATAGGTAGTGACCGAACATAAATGAAAATGTCGATCAATCCTGATTTATGTCCTATACTAACACACCAAATCTCGTTTTTTATCTAAAAAATTAAAAAAAGTTATAGAAGTAAAATTTTATTTCCGGTGTCAAACTTCCTATTAAGTAGTAATTTTTAATTTCAGAATCCCATAATAATTCCAGTTTTTAATAAAAATAATCATAAAGGTCTTTATTAACAAAAATGAAATTATATGGACGAAGTCTAGCTACATTCACACTCAACCCACAATAAAATTAAAATTATAAAATCTTTTCTTTGTGTAAACAAATTAGTTGTAAATATTTTTCACGATCCCAGTCAATAACTGCGTCTCCCATTGTCGAATACTCGGTAAAAAATAAAAATCACAGATGGACGCCCGAAATTAAATGAGACCCCTTCCAAGTGTCCGGTACAATGTCCGCCGAAATGCACGCCGTTCGCTCCTTTTGATTTACCGACACCCGTCGGAAAAAGAACGCGCGCGCTCTAGCATAGGCAGACGCACGCTCTGGCGTACAAACTAAACGTTCGGCGCTCCGCGTTCCTTAATAGGCCTAGGCTAGCTGTACTTGTTGGCTTTATCATTCATAAATCTACCTATCTCACAATTTTCACTTATTATCTGTTTAATTATATATGTTCGCGAACATTTTGTTCGAGTAGCTTGGACGCGGCTTTAGGTATAGAGTGTTTAACATCAATATTCATAGAATTTTACGGAGAATTTATGTATGTAATAAAAAATGGGGCCACCCATTTAAAATAAGAAAGTTGCTGTCAACTTCCGGTATTCCCGGAAGTGCCGCCATATTGAAAATATTTTTAATCGATGTACAAAAAATTTCTGATCTAGATATTGTGATTCTCTAGAAAATTCGAATGCACGCTCAGCCGGGGCACCCTGTATATTTATAATTAATTTACTTTTGTTTCCTAAAATATTTTGATTAAAAGAAAATATTTAAAAGGGCAACGCTGTGCCGGTCAAGCTTAATCACGTGACTGACGTGACAAAAAGTTTATTTGGTATGAACTTAAAAAAGTAGGTAAGCCTATTTAATTCAGAATTTAATGTAAAAGGAAAATAGTGACTTTTCAATTTAATTTAAAAAGATCTCTATGTATTTACCAAAATCATTTCGATGGTGGTACAATTAACGCTCTCGTTCTTCTCCTTGTTAAAGAAGTCCGTATTGTACCAGGTCTTGTTGAGCCACATGGGCAGGAACCAGACGTAGCCGTGGGCTCCCGTCATGTTGAGCTTGTAAGCCTCGCACATCACTTGGCGCGCGATCTCGTCGACCACGTCCGCTATGATAATGCGAGCTCGTTTTTCCCTGAGGTCTTCTAAGTACTGCAAAAAAGGTGATTTGTTTAAAAATAACCATAAACTCATAGAGTTTTTAACACAGACGTGTCTGATTATTGTCTCCACCCAGCAGAGTAACCTGAGACTTATTATGGTGTATTATTCATTCCCAATTTCATACTTGAAGGGCCAGGGAAAAAAATTGATATGGAACGGAAGCTTATGTATTCTCACTATACCTTCAGTTTCCATTCCATATCTGGTCCGTATTTTTGGCTGTATTCACGCTATACGTAAGTTTCCGATCCGTATCAGTTCCATACTTTTTACTGTAGAATTTATATCATTACGAAAGTTTTAATTTAAAAATTTGTATCTTTAGAAAAGGGTAATAGATTTAATTAAGAGGTAAAAGAATAAATAAATATCAGCAAAATGTTAAAAAAGCTGGCACAAATATAAGAACTTGACAACGTTCTTTTTCGATACGCTTCAGTCCTTCCATCAAAAAAATGTATGGAATATACAGATAGATTGCATTGTCCTATTCATTTACGTGATATAATATTTTATGTAAACGAAAGGGGTAACAGAAGGTAGCTGATACGGAAGGTATAGCGAGCATCAATCTAATCGTGATTTTCTCAGTTTGGAGAGAAATTGACAGAATTGGAGAAAAAAGCAGGTAACTTTTCCCCCTGACCCTTCACCTTATACTCTCACATCAATAAAATACCGTTTTGAAAATAAAAAAATGATATAATTCTAAAAGGTTACATAAATTTCTAGTTTACAGAATGTCTAAAACAACGGCATAACATAACCAAAAAAATTATGATTTATTAAGAATTCAAGGATTAAAAGGTAATCGTATAGCAAAGAATTATGAAACTGTAGTTTTTCTTTTCATGGGAAATCGTACCAACTGCGCCAGTTATGTTTTTAGTACTTGATGGTTCGTTTTAAATTGGAAATAATGAACTTAGAATTTTTTTAATAAGACTTTATTTTGACGGTAATTAACAGATTCAGAATCAGCTGACACACAATCTTAATACGCAGGTCAGTTTTTTTATTCTTGCTTTTAGACTGGTATCGAAATTATCTTTTGCTTACCCTAGTCATAGGTTCAGTCTCTCTTTCTCTTGGAAACTTCTTATTAGCTATAAAGGTAATCCCATTCTGCTCAAGTTCGTCTTGCATTTGCGAGATGTACTCGGTGTATTTTTGACCGTCCTCGGTCAAAGCAGCAACTCTGTTCCATTTAAATCTCTTAAACAATTCCAAATAAACATGTTTGTAATGTTTATTTTCACCTGTAGAAAAATAATACCTATTAATACCTCATTTTATTATTATTTTTAGTGCTACATATATCTAAGTGCAATACAATTAAAAAATCTCATAGGTATATAGTGTGATTCACGGAGATGGCACGTTAGACATTTATGGATATAGAATTTTTTGGAAAATTTGGATTTTTACATAAAGGCACCTGCTCCATCTATCTAAAATATTTACAGTGTTAGAGTGTTGCCGCTTCATACTAATAGTGGTAGCATCTTTCTTATTTTAAATGAAACGTCCAGTATATTATTACATTTTTTTGGAAACTACTTTCAAATCAAACGTCTAACGTGCCATGACTGTAAAACACCCTGTATTAAACCTATAGTATGATTATACTGATATTTAACACTATTGTCTATCTATCCAGACCTAAAGTACTCACCAATTGTCCTGAAAAAGTATGGATACTTTTCCCGATTAGAAAAACTCGAACCCTCGGCACTGTACGAAATGGCCATAATGTGGTAATACTTGGACACTCCGGCCAGGGGCTCCACCGTATCGGAACAGGCAGGGCCAAGCACGCCGACTAAGTTGGTGTAGTAGTTTGTATCGATAATGAAGTCGATGAAGTTTTTCATGACGTTGTCCGCCCTGCACATGCCGTTCGTGATGAGCAGCTCCATCTTGTAGTCGGCCAATATAGTCTTGTCTCTGTTGATGGCCGACACTGCCATTAAGGCACCGTGGACGATACCTTCGCCTTGATAGGAAGAGCCTGACATGGGTGACATTGGAAATATACCACCTGAAATAATAAGAAACTTAGATAATATAGAACATTATACACAAAATTTGTGTATGGTCTATATAAAGACCCTATGACAGAAAAAAAGGCAAATAACTACCATACAAATCCATCTTTTTCGCTAAAAAAATTATTCTTCTATATTTTTTAATATAATAATTATGGATGGATTTATATACAGGGAGTTTCAAAAAAGATGTGCCATCTATCGTGGCGAGATACGTAAAAATAAGATTTATTTTTTATTTCGACATATGTCCGATTCTGCTTTATTTTGTAGCTACAGGGGATTAAGTCTTCTTTTATTTTCATTTTATTATAATTTCCTTCCAATCCATTAAACCAATATACTATTACATCTATATCTCTGACTACTACTAACTGCTACTAACGAACAAGTTATTTTGTGTAGTCTGTGGTTTTTGTTTAAATGTTTGTCATTCATGTTGGGGATTTATTTTTAAATTAATGTTAATCGTTAAGCAACCAGTATTTCTTTTGCATAATCAAAATTGTCACTCTAAATTTTACATAACCAAATTGTCACTCTAAATCGCTGTCTTTCTTAGACAGATGTCACTTGTCTTGTCATTATTCAATTCATTATTCGAATTCTCAGAATATTGTTAACAAAAGTTTCATATTAAAATAACATTTTAATCAATCACAATTGTTTATCTCCATCATTTACCGGATTAATATAGTATACAGATATATACAGATATTACAACTCAATTACAAATAATTCATTATTTATAGTGACTTACAGGAATTTTATTAAATTAAACGAAGATTCTCGTTGATTATTGGTTTGAAATATATATGACAGTGTCTTCCAATGAAAATGCGAGTTACTAACTCTAAATTCTAATTCTGAGTTAGATGCTTTACCTAGACCGTTATTTAGAAGCTACAAATATATCGATGAAAATATGCATGAAATCAAAGTTGGTACAGTTTCAAGTTTATTATAGTGATTTTCTTAGCCGCGTATGGCACAGATTGTTACCCAGTGTTGACACAAGGCTTAAGGCTACCTAAAGCAAATTCAAAATAAAATAATGGTATTTAAGGTAATTACAAAAAACATATTTCTTAATTTTTACATCCTGTAATTTTTTTCATATTTTTTGACGGTGAATCAATGAATACTTAATTAACACTTAGTTAATGACATTAAAAAAATAAAGGTTGTTACTATTAGACTTGGATTAAACCATATTAAAATAAAATTACGTTTATATCATCAAGGTTATCGAAATCCACAAAATATCAAGAGACAACTTTTAATCGGCATTAAACAGCCTATACTGTGTGCTAAAAAGTGTAACTGTGCTAAAAAGAGAACAAGTCAGTGGGGCATGCTTTTTTTCGAAAAAAATTCCAGTGAAAACACATATACACGTTCCTGGTGAATCTGTGGAGACTATTTTAGCATTAAAATATTTAGAACTTATAGTAACTTTTACCCCCAAAATGTCATTAGAATCGCTAAAGATACTTTAATGGTTGTTAACCCCCAAAGTATATAAATGATATACGTACCTATATAAATAGTGCTTTCTGGCTGCTTTCTCCACTGATTCCAGGTCTCAAAATGGTTACGCATCCAATAACAGGCAATCTCTTTAAAGGACAGTTTCCCAGCATTATTTCTTTTATGGCTAGTGCGATAGTGGTCGTACAGTGCCAACAACTGATCGTATTCGTCCTCTTCAAACTTGAAACTGCGCAATGCGTTGTAGAGGGGTTTGGCGATCACCTCCACTTTGCTCCAGGCCACTTTGACCAAGCGATGCATCTCGTACTTGTATCCGATCGAATGGGTGAAGTTCAGTCTTTCTGAGTGTTCGAATGAGACGGTGATGAAGTCTTTCTCGTAAAGGATGACGTCGCTGGGTACCCAACTCAAAATAACCTGTAAGAAGAAAAAAATATGATTATATTTTTACTAAAATATTTTTAAAACATCATCTGTCAGCTCTGGAGTTTGGAACACATTCAAAATGAAAAGTCAAGTCCTACAACTCCCAGTGGATGACATTCCAAGAATGTACATCTTTAAGAAACACCTCTCTGTAGTATTGAGCAACAAAAAGAATTGGAAGAGAGAAACGTTTGCACATCAGTTAAAGACCATACCATAACGTGGTATACCGATGCTTCCAAAACCAAAGCAAGAACAGGGATAGTAGTTCAGTCATTGGGGATTTTTCCTTGGAAAAAAGTCCGAAAGTTTTGCAACTTTGCAAGTTTATAGGTTTTGGGGTCCCTAACTAAAATCCATAAAATGCACATTTCCAGACTTGTCGCCGGCGCCGCGATCTTGCCATGATGGCGCCCAAAATCGGTATTTTGTGAATATCTCGAAAACTATGCGTTTTTCGCGAAAATTTGAGGAGAGCAAAATTAAAGAGAATAAAATTTCCTATAAAAAAGGTTTTACGAAAATTTTCGCTAAAGTCAACTGTTTAGGCACAAATACCCTGGAAATTTTACAATTTTGCGTAAAATATGATATATTATGTATAGTCGATTTTCCGAAATCAAATGTCGATTAGGGTTCACTAAAACTAGTTTTAATTTAGTTTCATAAATTTTATCATAAAACAGTGGCGTATCATTAATTCGCTCATTAATTTATGAATAATTAATTTTAATTATTGAAAATGTGTACTTGTTTCCACACCACCCAAGAGGTAAAGTATATGGCGCGTTTATTTTAACGTGGTCTCCCCGGAGGCCTACTCCACTAGATAAATTAAGAACTTTTACTTATCTGCACAAGCCCGACGGATCTGACTCTTTGATGTCAAAGTCGATCGTCTCTGCTGTGCTGGGCTCATCAGGGTGGTCTCTCAATACGTCCAACTCTTCATATTCAGCCGCCAGAGGAATATATACAGGCAAGTCCAACTCCTCGTCATCGGATTCGTTGAGTGACACTTCAGTGACGTTGTCACAGGATTTCCCATTGCAGTATGCACAAATCATTGAACATTTTAATCCTGCTTTTCTGCATCCGCAGGCTTTACCATAGTTGTTGGTTTTGCATTTACAGGATAAAAATGCCAACAGGGATTCTGGAGCTGGATCTTTCAACGTTGTGACTGGACTAATGCCTGTTTTTGTTTTCTTCCAACCCCATTCTTCGGCATCTTCGGTACAACGTAACCAGACCAATGCTGAACCTGGTGGTAAGTTCGCAATGAATGCTGTCCAGCACGACAATTAATTATTCATAAATTAATGAGCGGATTAATGATACGCCACTGTTTCATGACAAAATTGAAGACACTAGTTTTAGTGAACCGTAATTGACATTTGATTTCGGAAAATCGACTATACATAATATATCATATTTTACGCAAAATTGTAAAATTTCAAGGGATTTTGTGCCTAAACGGTTGATTTAAGGGAAAATTTTTATAAAATCTTTTTTATAGGAAATTTTATTCTCTTTAATTTTGTTCTCCTCAAATTTTCGCGAAAAACGCATAGTTTTCGAGATATTCACAAAATAGCGATTTTGGGCGCCATTTTGGTAAGATGGCGGCGCCGGCGGCAAGTCTGAAAATGTGCATTTTATGGATTTTAGTTAGGACCCCAAAACTTATAAACCTGCAAAGTTTCAAAACTTCCGAACATTTTTCCAAGCAGGCCCCTTTTTTGATCCCCAATTACTGAAAGGGGGACTATTTGGGTATAAAACTAAATACTCTGAACCAATGGGCACCTACCCCAGTATCCTTCAGGCAGAAATCTACCCTATTGAAAGATGCAACTATCAACTTATCTTAGATAGGAACTATCGGAAACAAGAAATAGCCATCTTATCTGATAGGCAAGCCTTAAGAGCGATCAACTCAATTCGAAGTTGGTTAAAGAACGCCTAGAGAAGCTGAACAAAAAAGGCAAAGAAAAGAGTCTTTCTACTCTGGGTGCCAGCCCACCAAGGTAATGAAAAAGCAGACGATCTAGCTAGAAAATGAGCGAAAACTCTACTAACTGGACCCGAACGCTTGCTTCCGAAGTGGAAATCAACTTAAAGTGTAACAGTTGTAACAATTCTAAGAATCATTTGGTAATCCAACTCCTATTTTGAATTACTGATTACTTACCAAACTTTTATTTATCCTGGGTGTTTTCTGATATCTTTCCTTCACCAAATCGATAATCTCTGCTAAGCGGTCTCCAAGAAACCAGATCTTCATCAGTAACTTATTTTCTTCGATGTGGTTTTTTACAAATTTCGTTGAATTCCAGTAGGACGTTAAGAGAATTCCACACTTTTTGTTTTCGCAAATCTTCGGAATATACATGTTCCTCGTTTTGTTGCAAATCTTTTCTGGACAACCTTTCCTGTAACAAAAGAGAAAATTAGTAAAATTGTCTTTTAGCTAGTTTATATCTTTTTTTTTGTAACGGTTTTGTTTGGTTTGACACCCTATATATTAATTTATTTTCGGATTCTAGAAAATAGAGAATCATAACTAAAATATAAAGTTTTTAACATTTTCTAAAAATGAAGAATATATTTTAAATTTCAATAAATACCTAAACGGTAATTTTCCCTGTACAGCCTGATATGTAGTTGAAATCATGTTGAAATAACCATTGTACGTCAACTAAATTAAAACTTACATGTTACAGATATACAGGGTAAGACAAAATAGTCAAGGGAGAGTTCAGGTCTCTTCAAAATACCTATTGGTTGCCTACCACCCAGAGACAAAGATTTTCCTAGATAATAAAATATAAAGATAATTTCCTAGATTTTTTTAAACAAACAGTCTGCCTTTTCGAAACGCTGGGTCGCCTTGTATATATTTACCCAAGTTTCATAATTATACTAGTTCTGTAGATGTATAGACAGATATAGCTGACATTGGATAAAGGATAGAGAAAAAAATAAAATAAACGCGATTAAGCTGTCCTTCCCGAACGCATTATACTTATTACGAATTCCGGCAAAGTTGGTATCTGCCTAAACTTATCGAAACATTTATCATTCTGTGTTGTTTGCCGCAGAAAACTTTTACCATCCGTTTGCCTTCTATCGATTGATTTATATCTCGGCCTATATTAAATCTACTATTGCGTCTCATCTACAGAAAGGGATTCGAATAAACACTTTTAACATAATCATTTTTTTTTGTTTAGTAATGTTTTTACTGAGTTATACAGGGTGGTCAGTGGTCACCCTATAGGTACTGCATTATTTTGCACACTTGACCAAGTGTGCAGAAAAATCTTTATACCAAGCTTCCTGTTTAAGATTTTTATTCCATTTTTTTTCAAAATATTTTTTTTCATTAAAGTTTACAAATTTCTATTCCAAAAAAATCATAACTTATACTGTGTGATTTTTGAAATATTCTGCACTCTTAAAGGTAGCTTCCAATTCCTTTTTTTTGGAAGTATCAGAGCAGAAAACTGGAGAACATGAAAATGCGTACCTACATATATTAAATTTAATATCAATTAAACTTTTAGTTACGTAATCGAGGGCGCGATTTTTAAATTCATTGTTGCCAACCATGGACATATTCGGGGCCGGACTGACTAACTGGAATTTAAATTTCGCGCTGGGGCTTCAGATGGTAGCTCTGCTGTAAAAAATGTCAAGTTGCTCCGTTTATTTATTTATTTCCTGACATTGTCATTTGTTTTGACCTTTGAATAAGAAGACTAAGGAAGGAGCATAATGCTATCCATGTATTCATGCATGGTGGGCGGAAAAAGCGCCATAAAAGCACTCTAGGGTGGGGATCCTTGACAGTTCTGTTTGACGATGCATTTGACACATTTGAATTTGATTTGAAATTTTGTGGATTTGTCAGTCTTTACGGAGCTTATTTTATGTTATTTTAATATTAATTCACTGATAGTTGTATAAAGGTAGTAAATCTAGATGGAAATTGTGGCAGAACTTAAATTAACAGTGACACTATCGGGATTTATCGAAAAAGACTCTAAAATAGTTGGTTGTGTAGCGTGCGGTAGATCTCGGCAAAAATTGAGTGAAATAATGGAACAACTTTTCGCTAGTAAGTGACTATAGGTATAATATACATACGTGTAGTAAACCGATCATTTATGAAATTCACTTAAATTAACTAAATTATATATTTTTCTTGCATTTTAGCTTTTATTTATTACTTGTCAAAGATTTAATGTCAAAGAATTTAGATATGTTAATTTGACTTACCTGCTTCAGTAGCGTATCGGATGTTTGTGTTAATAAATACTTATTATAACTTATCTATTTTTATTACAATTATATATTTTTATAACAATTTTAATAACTACCAACATTTATTCACAACGTAAAATAAAACAACGAATTATTGAGTCTACCCCACGTCTACCCTACATCATAGTTTTACATTTTTTAAATAAAATTAGAACGACACTGATAAACCGGAATTTAAGTCGGCCATATTTGAGGCCCATCGCGGTGTACCTAAGATTTTTGATATGCTCCTTCGACACTAGTCTTCTTATTCAAAGGTTTTGATGACTTTAGTTTTGTAATTTATCGGTAAGGAAGATTCCTAGAAAATCGCTTGTAGTCAAGTTTTCAACCATTTCCAGTTCTCCCATAAGAAGTGTCATCCACCTGGTCTCACTATTGGAATTACCTGTACATTTTCTTGGCAGTCGCTGGCAGTCATTGGCAGTCTTACGGCAGTCGCCTATAATAATTACATGGCAGTCATAGGCAGTCTTCTTCGCAGTCATTGGCAGTCGCTTGGTATTAAAACGATATGTTGGCAGTACATGTACATTTTTTACCCAAGTTAGACACCCCTCGGTCACGTTGGAACCCGCTTTCAAGTAAAGTTTTCGATTTTTGGCTTATTATTAACTACAAACGATGCAATTGATTGTAGTAAATTAATTTTTTTGTAGTACTAATAATTAGCCAGAAAAAGTAAGCAATTGTGCGCAATGTAATAAAGAGAAAAAATATTGTTTTCACAAAGGTCTAAAAACCTTCAAAATCGTTTGTAGTTTTATGTAGTAGCAAAAAAATTCAATAAAAGATCCTTGGAATTAGTGAATTATAGTAAACTATCAAAATTAACATAGTTTGACATAATGTCTTTAGTTGTACCCAAACTACCAACGATGCAATTGATTGTAGTAAATTCAATTTTTTTGTAGTACTAATAATTAGCCAGAAATAGTAAACAATTGTGCGCAATGTAATAAAGAGAAAAAATATTGTTTTAACAAAGGTCTAAAAACCTTCAAATCGAGTTCAAGTACACCTTTTATTGAGTGACTTTTACTCAAATTTGTGTTACACTTAACTCGATTAGTACTCATATCTGAGTATTAATTTCACTCAGTATTGAGAAATATATTTCAAATTATTTTTTTAAAAGCTATATATGTAAGCTAATTTGTTATTTTATAATAGGTGGGCAGGTGCCTTTCAAAGGTTAGTTTCAGTTTAGGACATGGTATCGAACATGTCCATTTCCTAAAATTCACTTTTGAGAGGCATCTGTTCACTTGTAATAAAATAACAAGTTAGCTTACATATAGCTTTTAAAAAAATCATTTAGAATATTTCGTTTTTTTAACAAACCAAATGAAAAACTGTAGAACCTTCAAAATATTTTTATTTGTCATTTTTATGTGACAAAAACAAATTAAACCAAATATAACACTATTATTACAATCAAAAATCAAATCAAAAACATTTTAAAAAGTTTTCAACTCTTTTTGGAAAAAATACAGGAACTTTAAGCTATATGTCTAGAAAAGTTGCATCACATCGCAAAAATCCGCTTTATTAAGAGCATTCGTCAGCTCGGCTACCAACATTCTCGAATATTTCTAATTTCTAAACTAACTTTTAATAACGAAAATCCCCCGGAAAATCCAGATACTTTTCCTCCTGAAAATTAAAAAAAAATGTTATTCTGCCAAATGTTCCAGTTCCCAGTTCCAGCTTGAGGGAAAGTACCTAGATTTTCGCTACGCTAATTAGTCAAGGAAACATCCGAGCATTGCGGCAATGAGTAGACGCAGTCGAATTTGAATATATGCTATGTTGGGCAGATTTCTGCGATGTGAAAAAAAAATGTTCTTAACATAAAACATATTTAGGAGTTATGAGTTGGTACTTGCTTCATTACGCCACGCGGCCACTGTCACACTTTACATCACACTTTACACACACACTATGGGCTTGTAACCTTGGCACCCCTTCGAAGGGACAAGACAACCTACGACTCAAACAGATAATTAAAAACTGAGGAACAGGGGAACAGCTTATTCGACACCGAAGAAGCGCGTATGACGTATGAGTAGTAATGAGCGAAAATACTCTAAACTGGATGATTTCACTCAAATTTTTATTGTGTTAAGCTATAACATGAGTTTTTAAGTGAATTTTTCTATTCCATTACTCACAGATAGGGGTTATAACTCGAACATGAGCTTATTCAATCGCTATTGATTAAATAGAGATCATATTTGAGTAAAATGATGAATTTACTCTATTTTAGATGAAAATGTACTCAATTATTTCACTCAAAAAATGCACTCCCTGAGAAATATGTGTTCACTCAGGCTGATTTTTTACAGTGTACCTACATCGAAAATATTAGCCATGAATTACACTACCGAAGAAAAAGTATTGATGATTAAATTATATTATAAAGGAAATAGTTATCAAAAGGTGTCGGGCATGTTTGCTGCTCTGTATCCCAATAGACCGATACCTGGAAAATCTACAATCGCAAGGAATATCCAGAGATTTGAGACCAAAGGTACCCTAATAAATAACTGCAGATGTGAAGCAAGGCAGGAACAAAGAGAAGATGCAAGAAATGATACCGGCTTGGAAGTTTTATTGTGCGTAGAAGAGAACGATGGAAAGATCAGCACAAGGAAACTTGAGGATGAAATAGGAACAGATCACACTACAGCGTTTCGAATTTTGAAACGACATAATACTATCCATTCAAATATGAAAAGCACCAAGAGCTATGAGATTGGGACGAAATAGGGCAGCAGGCGTTTTGTTTTGATATGATGGAAAGAGCAAACACGAATAGGAAATTTTTAAAAAAACATATGTTTCACTGACGAATGCACGTTTACCTTAAATAATGAACCCAATGTTCAAAATTATCGATATAGGAACAAAGAAAACCAACACAGGTTTGTCAAAACAAGAACGCAGTATCCACAGAAAGTAAATGTTTAGGCAGGGATATTCGGACACAATATTATCGGACCATTACTTCTTACGCGAAATTTAAATGCAGAATATTATTTGGAACTACTCGAAAATCATATTTTACTGTGGGATTTGTTTTCCACCGATTTTTCTAATTTGA